AAATGTTCGTCGGTAAATGAGATGGATTTAGATTTTTTCTATCTTGGTGTTTTCTCTCTCGTGTGAGTTCCACACGTTCACTCTACGGTGTTGTTTACCTTCTGTGATGCGCGAGCTGATGACGTTACGTCATCATCATCACTACTTCACGTCAAGACGAGTTAACTTTCTTTTCTTTTTTTCAACTTTGTGTGGAAAAATGCGGGGATTATGCGGCCTTTTAAAAATCTGCGCCATTTTGCTGATTATGTGGTAAATTCTGCGATCGCAGAATCGCGTTTTTCTGGAGGGTCTATTTAATCTCTGTCACATGAAGGTCAATATAGTTACTTTAAGCTGCCATCAACTATCTTTTAAATCCCCTATTTCTTTGTCTTTCCTCAATGCTACATTTTCACTCAGTTTTCTCATTTACATTTTTCCTCAGTCTATGGTCATGCCCTGTTTTTGAACCCTACTGTGTGTGTGTGTGTGTGTGTGTGTGTGTGTGTGTGTGTGTGTGTGTGTGTGTGTGTGTGTGTGTGTGTGTGTGTGTGTGTGTGTGTGTGTGCAGATGATCCCACCCAGAGGCTGTGCCTACATCTGTATGGTCCACAGACAGGATGCATATCGCGCTCGCCAGAAGCTCAGCACTGGCTCCTTTAAGATAGGCTCCAAAGTCATCAAGGTACACATTACCTTTTTATAATTTAATTAACTTTATCCTAACTCTCCTTGGGGTTTCTTCTAACGTAGTTCTTCCAGGCACACGGATCCTTGTACGCCCGCGGAAATGACATTGAGAAATGCTGTTTATTGACCTTCTTGTGTTTGTTTCTGATTCAGATTGCATGGGCTCTGAACAAAGGGGTAAAGCAGGAGTACAAGCAGTTTTGGGATGTGGACCTGGGTGTCACCTACATACCCTGGGAGAAGGTGAAGCTGGATGACCTGGACGGCTTTGCTGAGGGAGGAATCATCGACCAGGAGACCGTTAATGATGGTGAAAACACACATTCTTATAAAGGGGGAAAAACTGCTTTTAGATATTGCCTAGGAAAGAGATAAATGAATATTTGTGAACATGATCGACTGTCAATGCCAGAAACCATAGGAGTAAGTCTATAACTTGTGATATCATCAAGTATAATGTCATTAGTGTAGTATAAACTGGTTTTGTGGATGGATTGTTTTTTTGTATACCCACTTCAGCTTTATAAATGTTAGTGTTATTAGTCAGGAAACAGAAAATGTATCCATGTACGTACAATGTTTCCAGTGGCGTTTTTATTTGTACAAAAGTGGTGGGGCACAAAAAACGTAGATGTCTACAGTATATATAAGCTTCTGCAGTGACGTGCAGTGAGGTTCATGGCTGGTGAGGCACTGGCACTGACTCTTCAGGTTTACAAATATTATCTTTTGACCTAAATCAAAATATAATATTATTTTCAAAAGCTTTTTTTGTCTGATGCTTCGATTCATTTTAAACAGACAGTTCAACAAAAGGATACCCAAAAAATGTAATTTTATCATTTAAATATTGAATTGTTCTCTCTTAGTAAGATCCCATTTTCAATAAAATGGTGGTCTTACCTTGACTTGAAGATGAAGTCCATTTGCCTATCCTTCTGGACAAAATCTCTATCTTCTCTATCTATCCCTTATCTTCTTGTAGTTTCAAAGTCTATCATAAATCTAATTGATAGATTTATGATTCAAAAATGATAAAAGTAGGGTCGACATGTGGATATTATCCGGCTGAACAAAACGTGCATTTATCTAACAGGTACGTTTCCGACAAATCTTATTTTGAGCTATTTTCTAAAATCCTATGGAGAAATCTGATTGCTTTTTTGTGGAGGGAACCCATGCGCAGCTTACTTCCTGGTTTTAGGACGCGTCTCTCGTCTCCTCTTCACACACCACACTTTTCGCGGTCACACGTACTTACAGCCAATC